AACCCTAAACCCTAAACGGGCGTTTGGGGTTCTGGCTGCGATGTCTTGGGTAGAATTCCTGGACCTCAAATAACCTACCTTTGTAGGGATCCTTAGTATGGTTTGTTTACACAAGTCCTTAAAAAAGGTTGGGTTTAGGGTTTAGGGTCAGGGTTTAGGTTTCCTTATCAGTTTCTTTATATATGTCCTTACAAAGGTATGTTCTTTGCGGTTAAGGTTGATCCTGCGGTTTTGGATCCCATAGTGCGCCATATTGGGTACTGGGTAGGACTCTGCATGGCGACGTAAGCCCAGCAAGACTCCTTCTTTAAGGAAGACACCCTAAACCCTAAACCCTAAACCCCTAAACCCTAAACCCCTAAACCCTAAACCCTAAACCACCTTGAATCTCAACAAGGATCCGTCGAACAACATTTGTGTTTTTTCCCGACTTGAGGGGTTTCGGGGCGTCTGTGAAGCTAAGGAGGACCTCTGGGGCTTTAGGGTCTAGGGTTTAGGGTTTAGGGTTTAGGGGTTTAGGATTTAGGGTTTAGGGTTTAGGGTTTAGGGTTTAGGGACCTCTGGGGCTTTATTCAACACTTCACTAGGCTCTGTCTACCGCAGCTTGAAGGCGGACTTTCATGCTCCCCTGCAGCCAGGATGGCGTAGAATGGTATTCCACACTTACCTAACTTCCTGAAGTGGGCACAGCAAGGCCCTAATCCCAAACCCCTAAGCCCTTTAAGTCCTAAGCCATAGCGGCTAACATCTAGACATATATCCTGGCCCTAGACCCCTGACCTGTAACCTCGAACCCTTCAGCCCCAAACCCTGAAGAACCGGACTCTTCTTGCAAAGAGAACCGAGTCAAATAGAAGCCTGACAATTCGGTAATGCAATCTGCTTTTAAGTTCCTCATTATGCTGATGATGTAGAACTTGCAATATTTTCCAATGCCCTACTCTAATGTTCTAAATTCATAACTATTAAGGCCCTATATTACTCCAGAGCACGTCTCACCCAAAGACTCCACAAGAAGCCTTAATTCGCTACGTATGTTTTGTATTTTAAACCATCTTGCGGAGCCGTCTGTAAAAGTAGGGATCGTAGAGTAAGACCTCCTATTATGCTTTTGGGGTTTAGGGTTTAGGGTTCGTGCTTTGGGTAAGTATCCCCCCTAAACCCTAAACCCTACACCCTAAACCCTAAACCCTAAATATAGCTACTTAGGACCCTCTGGGTAAGTACTCAAAAACCCCCCTCAACCCTGAGCCTCCAAGCCATGATGAAACCCAGAATCCTGGGTTTGGGGTTTAGGGTAAACCCTACCCAAAGAGTCCAAAGGACCTTTGTGATCATGAACTGGGTTGCGGATAGTAGTTCTGTAGGTTTGTATTCAGAAGAGTATATGATTACTAGGTACTTGGACCCTTAGGTTAATTTGCCAAACAAGAGTTGCATTCAACTCTGCAAAATATTGTCAAACCCTAAACCCTAAACCCTCAAACCCTAAACCCTCAACCCTCAACCCTCAAACCCTAAACCCTAGATATTGTATACTTAAGGGGGCCCTGGAGTCTCATGGGGATGTGGCGATGGACGATGCGCAACTCCGATCTATATCTGCGGAGCTGGGGGCTGTGAAAGACACTGCCACTTAGCTCAATGCAGGGTTGGTAGGGTTTAGGGCTTGGGGGTATGGTAAGTTTGCAAAAGGGTAAAGTTGCTGCTTTGAATCAAACCCTAAGGCATAGAAAGTTTAGGGCTTGAGGCTGTGGTATGTTTGCAAAAAGTAAAGTTGTTGTCTTGAATCAAACCCTAAGGCACATAAACGTGATAGGCTTTACACCAACCATGGATCCGCACCAACGCAACAGCCAAACAAACACATGTCTTCAGACAAGAGTATCAATATTTGTTAAGCTTCAGCAGCAATTCAAGTAAAACATCTGCTTTGATGTCATGTTTGAGCGGCCCTACTGAGGGTACTACGGTACTACGTCTTGTCGTGGGTCGTTGCCCAATCTGCTCACGCCTGCTTACGTAACATACGTAAGAGGACTGCTACGGACCTTGGAATCGGGCGCCGTTCTTCCGGTGAACATGGGCCATGCTGTTATAAACCTGGAAGCTGCTACATTCACAGTTTTGGGTCCTTTTGGGTGGTTAGGTATTCGGTTCAGGGCTTAGCAGGCTCTTTAGTCCAATGAGCGTTGTAGTCTCAATAGGAAGGTATGCAAAGGTGCATGGTATGTATGCATCTTTACAAAGATGTATATACGCACACACATACAAACATACATACACACATACATACACACATACATACATACATACATGCATACATACATACATGCATGCATGCATGCATGCATGCATGCATACAAACATACAAACAAACATACAAACATACAAACCTACATCCCATGCATGCATACGTACACACATACAAACGATCATACATCCATACATCCCTAAAGACGCACATGCATAGACACAAACCTACCTACCTAGCTACCTACCTACCTACCTACCTACCTACCTACCTATCTGCCTGTCTGCCTGCCTGCCTACCTACCTACCTACCTACCTACCTACCTACCTACCTACATACATACATACATACATACATATGTGCATACACAGTGTATGTACATATACATACAAACATATATACATACATGCATGCATGCATACGTACACACATGCATACGTACATACATACATACATACATGCATACATACACATGCATGTATGTGTATGTGTACATATATGCATACATATGTGTGTGCATGTAAGTAAATAGGTCTGTATGTGCGCAAGGATGGATGCATGAATCTATGATGTATGGATGTATGCTTGCATGTAAATATTTACGGAAGCATGTATGTGTAGGCATGCATGCATGTTTGCATGTAAGTAAGTATGTATATGCATGCAGGTACGTATGTAGGTATGCATGTGTATGTACATGCAAATACCTTTGTGTAAATACATATATATATATATATGTACATCTGTATGTGTATTTACATAGATGGATAGATAGATAGATAGATAGATAGATAGATAGCTTGATAGCTTGATAGATAGATAGATAGATCGATCGATAGATAGATAGATAGATAGATAGATAGGTCGATCGATCGATAGATAGATATTTGCATATATGTATGTTTATTTACATGGGCATACATGTGTATATAGGTATATAGATAAATAAATATATGTAAAGTATATACATATGTTTATTTATATTGACATATGTATGCGCGCATGCATTTTATCTTCAGATGTGTATTTTTAGATATCGGGGTGTGTGTGTGTGCGAACACATGCACATATGTGTATGAATGAACATATATGGGTATATATAGACATGCACACCTGAGTGTATGTATGTATATATATATATGTTTATATATGTCTGTATATATATATATGCATGCATACACGTCTGTATGCGTATATGCACAGATGTATCCTTGTGATACAGCCCCTGACAAATATGGATTCCGATTTCGCAAGCTGCCTTTGCGGCCTTCAGGGAAACCGATAGGGTTTAGGGTTTAGGGTTAACGGGTTGCTCTTCAGGCGAAGCGACAGCAGAAGGCGTTGAAGAGCAACTAGGTTGCAGAGGATGTGCCCCTTCCTCCCTGTTGCGGTGGTTTTACAAGGCCACGGGCCAAAGGGTTTAGTCTTTTTAGGGTTTTTAGGGCTTTTATGGGTTTAGGGTTCAGGGTTTAGGGAGTCTAGGGCTACCCTTGAATGTTAAACCCTCAAAGCCCTAAATCCTAACGGCCCTAGACCACACTCCCTCACCCCGGAACCCCATTGCCTACGACCCCCTAAGTATTCTTTCTGCAGTATCCAGGGGCTCAAGGGGTTAAGGTATCGGAGTTTAGAGTTGAGGAAGCCGACCTCCTCTGTTTGGGGTGTTCGAGTTTTGTCCTAGTTGGAGTTACTGGCTAAAGGCTTTGCAGTTTCAGGATTCGATCACGGCTATCACGGTTTCTGAGGTCTGGGGGGTTTCGGGGCTTCGGCTTTCAGGGTTTAGCGAAACTGGGTTTACAAGCCTGAAACCCAAACCCCAAACCCTTAGAGGGTTCAGAACTGACAAATTCCTGGGCACGAGCCCGAGTTCCCAAAGTTCGTGCAGTCGCGCGCACACCGCCGCAATCGAATGTACTACAAGGGCCTAAAAAGTTACCCATACTATTTTGTTGGGGGGGTCTTTGTTGTTGTTTAAGGCCCCTGCATTACTGAGGCTTGCAAGTCTTGGTGAGCAAAGGGACAAATGTGTCAGCTTTGCTTCTTGCCGGCAAGGGCTTTGTTGGTGGCTCCTGAGTTGAAGTCTGGCCTCGGTTCCGGATGGCTGACGGTTCTCAAGGGGAGATGTTGTGCCTCAATGCATATGGGGGGGGGGGGGGGGCTCCAAATCAG